AGGGGACAGTTAACAATGCTGGGAAGTTCCAAAGTTACCGGGGTGAAGGTGGAAGACAGGCCGTCCTGGCTATGCGGAAAGGGCACTTGAATCCTTGGGGAAGATACACCTATCCCTCCACTCTTCCAGGCCCCTCACCACTGACTACCACAATCATCAATCATGACTGATAAGCAAACTCCAAGGCAGCCTGAAAAGGCCAGAGATATCCATTCAGACCCTGAAGGTAAGGGCATGGAGTCCTAGATGGGTAGACCAGTTAGGCAGCCAAGGTGTGACACATAGTGAGTGACAAGAACACACAGCAAGAGGATGGCCCGGATAGGAAGTCACATCCGGAGACAGTGACACATAGACAGACCCAGACCCAGAGGTGGATGGGTGGGGAGAATGAATGAGAATGGCAAAATCCAGACGTAGGGACACATGGACAGAGATCGGCAGGGCAACAGGCCCAGCATGGTCAAGGACTCAACGACAGAGCTATTCAGAGACAGGGACAGACAAGAGCAGATGGAGAGTTGGGGGGCCAGGAGAGGCACACTTCACCTTGAAAAGGAGCGGTGGCCTCCCCTCACCTACTAATCGCACCTTTCAAAAACCAAAAAAGCAACAAACAACTCAACTTCAGGCAAAACCTAAAAATCAAAGATTAAGGGTATCCACCTCCCCTCCCACCCTCCCACCCGTGGCAAGCTCGCCCATCCATCAGCCCGCCTGCTAGCCGCCGTTCCTCGCGCATCCTGAGGCCGGTGGGGGGCCGCCGAGACCCAGGCCCCTCCGGACTGACAGCTCCGAGCCCCCATAGTCACCCGGCCTCCTCTCCCCTCCGGGATCCCCGCTCCCCGTACTGCTCGGCGCGACCCGTCTAGCCTCTCGTTACCCTCCGCCCGTCCGGCGGGCTCCTAGTCCAGCTTCGATGCCTTTCCGTTCCCCGCCTCAGCCTCCACCCCGGCCTCTCTCTCTTCGCCCTCTCGCAGGCCCGCTCCTTCCCTCCCACAACCCTGTCTCTCCTTCTCCTCAGGCTCTCGGTCTGTCCGTCTGTCCGTCTGGGTCCCCTCCCCCAGTCCCCTTCGGTCCCTCTCCGTGCCCTCCAGCGGCAGTCTCCGAGCGCCTCCTCTCCCCTCCGTCTCAAGCTTCCAAAGAGCAAGGAAGGGAAGACGAGAGGGAGAGGGGAAAAAAAAAAAAAAAAAAAAACCAACCAACCCAGCAGCATCGGAAATCGATGCACTTACACCTCAGCTGGAAGCAGGGACGGGAGTCGAACCGCGGCCGCCGAGCAGCGCGAGGCGGGGAGGGGAGGGGGTGGCTCTTGGAAGGGACTTCTCCGATGTGTTGATTCCTTTTTTTCCCCTCCTCCTCCCTCCCTCCAGCGCTCACTCCGGGGCGTCGGGGACGGAGATGGAAAAAATAAATAAATAAATTCACGGCGGTGAGGGAAGTGAAGGAAAATAATCAATGCTATTTGGCTGCGGCTGAAGTGTTTTCCCGGCTTCGTGAGGGGGTTTCCATTGATTCACCCTGGGCACTCGCTCGCTCCCTGCCTCCTCCTCCTCCTCCTCGCCCTCCTCCTCCTCCTCCTCCTCCTCCTCCTCCTCCTCGCCCTCACTCCTCCGCCTCATTCAGTGGCTGGAGCCGAGGCGTCCCACACAATGGAATAATCAATACCCAGGCGCCCGGGGCGGCCCCACTGAGCAGGTGCAGCGGCCCGCCCGCCGCGGAGGACGCCGGGAGTTGTAGTCCGGCTGCCCCCGCCCCCGCCCCCGCCCCCGCCCGCCGGCCCTAGAGCTTGGTGTCTGCCTGCTTCACTGGACTGTAGGCGGGACCTATGACAGGCGGACTGCGGTGCCGGCCACCTGCTTGACTGTGGGGCCAGGTCCAAGCCGGTGCCTGCAAAGAGCATTTTAAACACTTTCCCGAGTTCTCCTCCTCTTTCTTCTGTTTACAGAAATATACATGTGTTTTGTTATTATTACTATTTAAAAAAAAAATCAGCTCTAGAGCAAGCCATGGCTTCTACGAGCTTTCTAGAACCACCAGAGACCTCTCTCTCTCTCTCTCTCTCTTTTTTTTTCTCACTTTCACTCCCTTCTTCTTGCCTTATTAATTCCCCTCCCTTCCAGTTGGGCACTATAGAACCTTGTCTGCCGCAGCAATTACTCTGAGTCACCAGAGCGTCTGTCTCCTTCACGCGGTCACATAGTCTCCAGAGTTGGGTGCGGGTGGGGAGAGGGGCTGGTTCCCCATCCTTATTTTCAGTTTATCAGCTCACATAAACTGTTATATTCTAATAACTGCTGAAACTTGCTGAGTGCTTAGGGACAGTACCAAGCACTTCTACATATATTAACTTATTTAATCTCCACAATTAGTCTCATTTTACAGTTAGGAAGGCCTGCATGTGTGCTCAGTCCTGTCTGATTCTTAGAGACTCCGTGGACTGTAGCCCACCAGGCTCCTCTGTCCATGGGATTTTCCAGGCAAGAATACAGGAGTGGGTTGCCATTTCCTCCTTCACGGGATCTTTCCAACCCAGGGATTGAACCTGTGTCTCTTGTGTCTCCTGCATTAGCAGGAAGATTCTTTCCCACTGGCACCAGAAACCAGGGCACAAACAATTAACTTGCCCAAGGTCACATGGCCAGTAAATGACAGCCAGGATTCAAATCCTGATGCTCAGACTCCAGAGCCCATACTAGCTGCTACAGCCTACTTCTATTAATAGAAGAAAAAAAAATTAAAAAATCCTAGAATTCACAGGAAAAAAGGAAGGAGAAAGAAACTAATATTTTGAATCTCTATGATGTGACAGTTTGTCACTGAATCCTCACACTTATCTGTGAGGCAGTCCACATTTTACTAAAGACAAAACAGAGATTTCAGGAGGTGAAGTAGCTTTCCCAACACCAAACACCAATAAAGTGATGACGGGAGATGACTCCAGGTCTGACTGCCTTCGGAGTCTAATCTTTCTTTCTCCTTAAACTGCTGCCTCTGCCCTACTGGATTTGGACCCTATAATTCAAGGAAGAGATTAAGTCTTCTTCCTTTGGGCAACAAAGCTTAAAAAGCAAAGGACAGATGAAATGCAGGCGAGTGAAAGGAGTAAGGGGCTGGGTTCCCTCTTTTCCCTGCACCCTGGTTCCTGTCATCGGGTGGGGGGCAGTGCAGATAAGCATTCAAAACATGCCAGGTTCAAGATGCCATGTCTGTAAACCAGTGTCCTCTCCACTGTACCTCCTATGGGTCATGTGTTTCCAAAAACGTACCGGGGAAAGGATAAATGTAAAGGACCTAGCCCTTCTCACTCATAATAGAAGGGAAGCCAGGAGTTGACAAGAACCACTGTTTCTCAGCAAGCTACCTTACCCCAAAAACAGACATACAGTAGATGTCTCCAGGTAATCATAATCCTGGGAGGGAGTAGGGAGAAGCAGCCTTCTCTATTTTGTCTCCCAAAGCAGTCAAAGGGCCATTCGCATGTCTTCCTATATTTTAAATGAATGCAAGTATTTCTCCTGTTCCTGACAGAGCCTGCACACGGGCCACAGGAAACAAACTCCTCAGTTTGGCATGCAAAGCCGTTTCCAATCTGCTCAGCGGTATTTCCAACTTCATCTCTTTTCCCTTAAACACTGGCCAGGTGCTCTCCAGTTTCTGGGTCTTTGTTCATGCTGTTTCTCTGTCTCCAGTCATTGAAATCCCATCATGTCTTTAGTTTTCATCCAAAATATCATTTCCTCCTCTTACAGAAAGTCGTTGGGGGAGGGGGCTTCCCTAGTGACCTAGTAGTTTGAATTTTGGCTTTTACTGCGGGAGGCTGGTGTTCAATTCCTGGCAGGGAACTGAGATCCCTCAAGCTGCACACCCACAAAAACAAGTCTCCCATCCACCATTATCCTGAACATTCTTGGGGATGTTTTAACTCCCCTTTAAAACTTCCAGAGTCTAGAGTAACTAGACTGGTCTTAACTATCTTTCTTCTTCCCCCAGCTCATTGCCATTGGCCTGCATTTAACGGGCCACCACAATAGTCAATAAAGTATCTGCTGGACAGGGTCTGAGTGAGTGGCTTGTATTCCAGCCCCATCTGGCAACGAAGTGAGAGCGTTGAAGGCGGGAATGGGGTCTGAGCTCCTTTTCCATCCGACTTTAGATAGACTCCCACAGGCGTCAATCGCAGCTTTCCTGTCACCATAGCGACGAGTGGGGCAAGAAAGCAAAAGTTTCCCTTCGGAACTACACCTCCCATCATGCACCCGGGCTCCAGGGTACCGGGCTCAGCCTGCGGCCTGAGACCCGGTCCGCCCCTCGGGAGCTGGGAGGGGTCTGCAATGAGAAGCAGAGCCTAGGGGGCCACCCTCGCTTTTGGCCCGCCGCGGAGGTTGCGGCCCCTCATAACTTAGCAGGCTTATCGGCCCAAGCCTGCCCTCGGCATAGCTACATCGGGCCTAATATGGCCGCTTGTGCCGGGACCTCCCCCGTGCGCAGAGAACCGGGCCGAGGTCCGGAGCCAGGGACTGCTTCCGGCTTTCCTCGCGGGCGTGGTGTAGGCTTCCTTCTCCTTACTCCAGGTCCCGCGAGAGGGAGACCTTAGGCCTTTCAGGTGAGGCCCAAGGCTCCGCGGGTCGGTGCTCTGGGGGGATCTGGCGGGGTCATCTCCGGCAGTGAGTAGCCGTACTCCCGGGGTAGCATGTGTTGAGCTAGGGGCGTTGAAAGGACACCCGCTACACGGCTTGCTTTCTAGAGAGCCCCTTCGATTTTCCAGGGACTCCTTTGGATTTAGGACAGCAGCAGCAGAAGGGATCTAACTGGAGACCTGTGCCTGTTGCTGAGCCTTAATAAACATCAGAGACAGACAGGGCCATCCATCACAGAAGCAAGGAGGAAGGACCCCCGACAGACAGCCCTGCGACGCTGTGTGCCCCTTACAAGTTCTTCCGGGGGGAGGGATCTTCGGGAGCTCATCAGTGTTTGTTGATTGACTGATTGCAGGTAGCATGGCCCAGGGCCTGATTGAAGTGGAGCGAAGGTTCTTTCCGGGGCCCGGCACAGAGGAGCGGCTGCAGGAGTTGGGGGGTACCCTGGAACATCGAGTCACTTTCCGAGACAGCTACTATGACACCCCTGACCTGAGCCTCATGCGAACTGATTACTGGCTGCGACAGCGAGAAGGCAGTGGATGGGAGCTCAAATGTCCCGGAGCGGCAAGTGTCTCAGGACCCCACACTGAGTACACGGAACTCACAGCTGAGCCTTCAATTGTGGTCCAGCTCTGTGAGGTGCTGGGGGCTGCGGTCCCGGGGGCTGGGAGCGTGGCTGCTGTGCTGGGCCCCCTGGGGCTGCAGTTGGTAGCTAGTTTTGTGACGAAGCGCAGTGCCTGGAAAGTGGTGCTGTCCGGAGCCGACGGGGAGGAGCAGCTGCTCAGGGTGGACCTGGATACAACTGACTTTGGCTACGCTGTGGGTGAGGTAGAGGAACTGGTGCACAAGGAGACTGAAGTCCCAGCTGCCCTGGAGAAGATCCACCACCTCAGCAGCCTGCTTGGTGAGGGAGACAGGCCCTTTCATACTTCCTTTGTGCCTCTTCTGAGTGTACCCTCTGGGCCAATTGTCGGGGACGTCTAGAGGCTGTTTCTTTAAGAGGACTTATTTTAGCAGTTTTCTAGAGGACCCAGTTTGCTCAGGGCTCTATCAAATCCGGTTTCTTCTTTTGCAGTAGCTGTCTAAGCTGCAATGAATCCTTCCATGTGTCTCTAATCCTTCCCAGCCATTGGCTCATGTCATTTTCATACCTCTAGCCACTCCAGGTGTCCTTTGATTCCATTTGTCAGTTCTCTTCTTCAATCTTTTCATCCATCCTTTCTCCCCCCAACTCCTGTCCTCTGATTTTTATAATGAAATCCTCATTTGTCCTACTGGCTTGAGTAAAAGTCAAGAGTGTTGTTCCCATGTGACAAGACAGTGGGGCAAACGTTATGTTCCCAGGCTTAGCTCCCCTGTACACAGTTCATCCATACAAGTACAGGGTTGTGCATCCCATGGGGCCTTACAGCCCTGGAATGTTGTTCTTGCCTCTTCAGCAAACCTACACTGAGTTCCCCGCCATCGGCCCAGCATGCTGCCAGGCACTAACAATTAGACACTGGCTAATTGTGGCTCCACACCACAGAGGCTAGAATTCTCTGCAAATCCCACCTCATTCATGGCTGTAGCTGCTCCTCCTTTCTACACCCCTTGGTTTCTCTCTGTGTGTGCATCTCTGCATGTGCTTCATTACCAAGCTAATGAGCTCTGGCCTGCCTGGAGAGGCTTTAATCTTGATTGGGGGGCAGGAGCAGTAACTGAAATGAGTTGCTACTGAGGCACCCTCTGTCTTCCTGGCGCCTGAGTGCCCTTCACCACGTCTCCTTGCCAGAGGAGAGGTTCGTGCTTGGCTTCCTAGGCCCACTTCTGCCTCAAGTGGCCCTCTTTGGCCCTGCTTCCCCAGGCCAATCAGGGAGCAGGCTGGTGGGTTAGACAAGCTGGCTGGACGGCGTTCAGGATCCCAGTGCTGCTTTGGAAACAAGTCTGGGGTCCAGCTGCGTGGGCAGGGAGAGGCAAAGTATCTGTGGCCATCTGGTTCTCTGCTCACTCTCCTTTTGCCTGTAGGTGTGCTGGCCCAGGAGAGGGCACCTGCCAAGCTGATTGTATACCTGCAGCGCTTCCGGCCCCAGGACTATCAGCGCCTGCTAGAAGTGTACGGGTCCGAAGTGAAGCCTTAGGGGACTGGAGATCCGGACACGACACGGGGCTAGTGTCACTTCCCCGATGCAGAAGAGAGCTCTGGGGCTGAGGAGCGTCACTCCTGGGCTCACCGTGCCTCTTCCCTCTGGCTCCCCTTCCCACAGAGACTCCTCTGGCTCCAGCTCTGTCTGTTCCTTCACCCTACCCTCCGCTATCCTTCCTGGAGCCTTCCCTGGCTGCCTCCTCTCCCTCATCCGTCAGATGCAATCTGTGGGCTGCCCCTCACCCCTGGCCGCTAAGCAGCCTCCATTGATTTCCGCTCGTGTTTATAGGATTTCCACTTAGCCGTGATCAGTAGTTAAGCACAGGAAAATCCCTTGCCACCCCCCTCCCTTGGTCGATGCCATTGATTCTGCCAGCGGCTCCTAAACTGCCTTACAGCTGAGTTAGAGAGGAGGGGAGGCAGCAGGGATTTCCCTGCCCCGGGCTACAGGGAACAGCAGCAGCTTGGGGAAGCCAGTGAGGATTCCTGTGAGAGATCTAGAACTTCTGAAGTTGCCCCTGTGCCCTGCTCTGGCCTACAGGGTAGGGTGCCTCCTGTGGAGGTTCAGGGGCTCATCTGCTCCCCAGCCAGAAAGGGGGTAGAAGGAAAACCTTCCTTTGTTGAAACCAGTTCCAAAGGCTTAGGGCAAGACACCTACTTCCTGTGTAAGAAGGCTCTTCCCTGGCTGTTATTCACATACATGTTCTACTTCAGATATGGCTTTGCCCCCATGGGCTTTATTGGGCTTTCATCATTTGTGGGGTTCCCCCCAACCCGTTTCTGCAGCAGCAAGCACAGGACCAGAGTGCCACCTGCTGGTCACCCTCAGATATGGCTCCAAGTAGCTGGGGCTCCTGATGTGGGGACACGGGAGGACTTCAGGTTTTGAGTGGAGGCTGAGTTATTGCCATGTCTCCACAGGCAAATTGTTCACCTCAAAGATTTCTTGTACCGACTGGCCAAAGTGGTCGTAGGTGAGGCGCAACTTCAGCCGCAACGGGGCCTAGGAATAGGAGAGCGAAGACCAGGGAAAGCACAGATGACTCCTCCCTGCCCTAGGTCTTAGGCTCGAGGGGCTCCTGGAGCTCACCTTGTTAGGATTGAGGATTCTGAGCAGCTGGGTCATTGGAAGGCCACCCTGGGCTGGAACGGTGTCTCCACTGGGGGCCTGTAGCTGCAGCTGGAAACTCTGAACATAGGAGGTTGGACAGAGCACACAGTAAGGCAGTGGGCTGGCTCAGGCAACCACTCCACACCCTCTTCCCACAACTCCCCAAGTGCCTGTCTCTGCAGTCCCTCCCTTCTCATCTCATCCTCCCACCACCCCTACCACCTCCCCTACTTAGTGGCTTTTTCTCCTGGAGCATCCAGGCTACCTCTGAGTCCTGGTCTTCTACAAACCTTGGGCACAGCCGCCTGGCAGATGAAGTGGGTGACGTCACCCCCTGAGGTGTTGGTGGCAGTGAGAGTGATTAACAGCAAAGTAGGGGTTCCAGGGGGTCGAACAAAAGAAAGAGTCAGCTGAAGTCCTTCACGCTCAAATACTTTGAGATTTGGGATGGGAGCTACAGTAGGGAGAGAAAAGGGACTCGGTATATGGGCTGAAGATAACAGTTCATTCATTCATGCAAGAACAATTAAATGAGCACCCACTGGGTGCAGGGAACTGCTCCAGATGCTAATGACTGAGTGGACAAGAAGATGAGGTCCCCAGTGAAGCTCACAGCTTAGGGGAGAGAAACAATAAACAAGAAAACAAGCACAGTCTGTAACTGGTGCTCTGAAGGAAATAATCTGTGGGGGGAACTAACTGAAGTAGGAGAGGGAGGGGAAGCATCTGACATTTTAGCTGAAGCTGAAGATGGAGAATGAGCCAGCTATTTTAATGTGCTGGGAAAAGAACATTCCATGTGAAAAGAATATGAACACCAAGGGTTTGAGGTGAGAGGGCCTGAGAGTTGAGAGGGGGCCAGTGGAGCGGGTAGTGGGAAAGCCTGTGAGGGGCAGGGAGGAAGCAGGACCCCGGGCCAGAATTAAGAAATCTGAACAAAGGGAAGACATTAGAGGGTGTCCAGGAGGGGACTGGTATGATCTAATGAATCCTTTTACTAAGATGGGGATGTGATGGGAGTACACAGCAGGGAAGAGGGAATCTGAATCTCGGTCCTCAGCTTAGAAGGGGAAGCACCTATTTCCACCACCCCTTCTTTAAGACATCTCCCCTTTGCTGAGGCTTACCAGAGGGTAGGGGAGTGCAGGGAAGGTCAAGGAGGTGTATCAAAGTGTCTCCTGGGGTGGGATCCAGAGGGGGAGGGTGCTGGGCATTCTCAGAAGGGCCATCCAGGAGATCTAACAGATCCAAGAGCTTTGAGGCCTGGAGAGAGGGCAGAAGGGTCAGGGCTGGGTATGGAAGCTGGACCATGCTCTTCCCCCAGGGGTACCCCGGCCCCCTCACCTGGGTCTCCGTGGGGACAGGGGCTGCTTCTGAAAGCTGGGCTACTTCTTTGCTTTCCTTTGCTTCCTCATTGACCTGAGGGCCACCCCGCTCCACAAGAGGCATCTTTTCCAGGACGGCAGCCCTGAGAGGAAGAAGGCAGGTGTATCCCTCTGGGTATACACTGGGTTTTTCACAAGAGATGTGTGGGAGGAGGGGAAAGAATAGGACAGTCCTGGGCTCATGGTGGGTCAGGAGTACCCCTCTGATTTCCTAAGACGGAACAGTCTTGCTGGCTTCCAGATGAACAAGGAGGGTGGGAAGCCTACTTAGTGTCCATGAACTGTGGGCGGGCACAGGTAAGGCTGAGACCCCTGCACCCAGAACAGGGAACTAGGGAGCGGGCTGGGGGTTGGGTCCCACACTGTCAGCGGCGCACCTCAAGTGGTCGTACTTCCGGAAGAGGGCGTTGTACTCCACTGCCCGCTGCTGCAGCTCCACATCCTGGCAGCTCCCGTAGATGGACATCACCTGGCAGATGCGGCTGGGCCACAGGGTGGTCCGTGACTGGGACTGGCCATCTGCCCTGCCCTTCACCTCTAGGATGCGGCAGGGAAGGAAGAGCCACCCCCAGAGCAGGGAGAGACCCACGATCCTTGGCTCAAAAGGAAGGACCTAAGGGCAGGGGGCTGGGGATGGAGGTGCAGGCCTGGAGGGAAACTCAGAAACGGGGGGGGGGGCACGGTGAAGGGTCATCTCACTGGAGGTACCAAGAAGAGGCTCTGTGGGAGGGGCCGGGATCCACTCTTACTTGTTGTCCCCATGGAGCCGGGTGCTAAGCTTCATGAGGGCCGTGAGGGCATATCCCCTGGTGGCCGGCAGGGACATATGAGACTGAAGCACCCTTTCCAGCAGTGCCAACACCATGTCTTCCTCCACCTTCCGGAGGGGGGGAGGACACAGAGAGTGACCCTGGGGCCGGCCCTGCCTCCCCTCACATGTCCCTCCTCTGTGTACTCCCAACGCAGGGCCCACCTGCAGGGGCTCAGTCTCCTCACAGTTCCCCTCCAGCAGGAGATCTCCGTATTCCCCGATGCACCAGGCTGCCACCTGCACCAGTGGTTGCTGTGGGGGATGAGAAACACGCTGGGCCGGCGTCTGGGTCCCTTCCTCACTTCCAGACCCCGTGACATCCCTTTAGGCAGTGCAGAGATAGCGGAGTTTGCAGGGGTGGGGAAAGGGAAGGGCCTTGGCACAGGGAGCAGTTATGAGCAATTTTTAGTTTGGGGCTCTGTCCTGGCTCCTGGGCTTCTTCTGCCCTCTAGTGGCCAAGTATAAGAACTACATGGCCTACAACAGCTCTCACGATCATCATACTAAGTGAAAAGCCAGAGAAAGACAAACAGTATGATATCATTTCTGTGAGGAATCTAAAAGATAATACAAATGAATCCATACACAAAACAGAAACACTCACAGAAATAGAAAACAAACATGGTTACCAAAGGGGGAAGGAATGGGAAGGATAAATTAGGAGTATGGAGATAAACAGATACAAACTACTATATATAAAATAAATATGCAAGGGTTTACTGTATAGCACAGGGAACTACATTCAATATCTTGTAATAATCTATAATGGAAAATAATCTTGGGACTTCCCTGTCAGTCCAGTCGTTAAGACTTTGCCTTCCAATGAAGAGGGTATGTGTTTGATTCCTGGTTGGGGAGCTCAGATCCCACATACCTCTGGGCCAAAAAAACAAAAATATAAAACAGAAGTAATATTGTAACAAATTCAATAAAGATTTGAAAAAAAATGTTCCACATTAGAAAAATAATAATCGTATAACTGGATCCCTTTGATGTACACCTGAAACTAACACAGTATTGTAAATCAATTGTTTCAGTTTTTAAAAGTACCATAGGATAAAATTCAGAAAGAAATACCAAAAACAAAACAACCCCTTCCCCCCACCCCCAGGCCTAACCACAAGGGGTGCAGTGAGGATGAAGCGAGGGGGTCCTCCCTTGAGGAAGGGGTGGGTGGTTTCTGCCTAGCCTACTAAAGTAATATGGAAAGCGGTATTGGCATATTGGTTATTGGTTGGCACCTGTGAATTCACTCAGCATTCAAGGTAGTAATAAGAACTAATATACACAAAAAGAGCTTTTATTTATATCCTGTTTGATGAAGACAGCTCTGGGAGGTAGGCAGGGTAGAGTGCTGAGTAGACCCGGTATGAAGAAAATTCAGTGAGTCATCTGTGGTTTTACAGACAGTAGATAACAGAAGCAGGACAGAAATCGAGGTGTTCTAACTATAAGCAGGGCTCTCTGTCCTTCAGTGACTCCTCTACAAAGTAGAAAGCTGTGAGGGTAAAAAAGAGAGAGAGACAGAGCTGTGACTCCAGGGGGAAAAACAGTTGGGAACCTGGTGTATGGACCAGCTGGCCCAGGAAGGGAGGAGAGGGGTGGGCAGCCCTGGGCCTGGTGGTGGGAGCAGTACCTGGGAGATGTCCTCAGCCAGGGCGCTGTAGAGGCGGCGCACGGAGTAGGCGTGGAGCTCCTGGGCGCCCCCAATCAGCTGGATCAGGTTGGCCACCGCATCATCGCGCACATAGGTGCCTGCCTGGAGGGGTGAATGTGGCTGGGTCATCGTGGTGAACCCTGCCCGCTCCCACCCAGCTCTCAGCCCAGCCCCTGCCTCACCGTCGTCAGCACACGGAGGATGGTATCTATGTGCCACCGCTTGGTTGGGGCAAACCTAGGGGACATCAAGGCTCTTCAGTCCTGGCAATGACCCTCCCTGGATGTCACCCTCTCTCCTGCGCACCCATCCCCTCACCTCTCTGCTGCCAGTAGGATGCCAGAGGCACAGTCAGCCCGAAGATCAGGGGAGCAGGACTCCAGAAAGCCCTGCAGCTCCTGGGTCATGGTCCGCACGTTGGAGCTGTTCACCAGGGCCAGGCTCAGTTCCAGGGCCCGCCTGGAGAAGAAACGTGTGTTTAGACAAGGTCTCCCAGGTCACCCCGTGACATTCCTTGGGGCCCCCCTTCCCAGGCACCTGTCTCCTTAGTCCCCTTTCTCCAGCTGCTGAGCTGGCCCGGTGCTTGGGCCCTCTGCTCTTCGCTCTGGTTCCTCCGTCCTGCTTACCGGCTGAGGGAGGCGTCAGGTTCCCGCAGACATTCCACCACGGTGGGCCGGTGCCGCTGCACTGCGCTGTGATCAGACTGCACCAGCTTCAGCAAGGACGTCAGGGCCACATATCTGCTCGGAGCAGGAGGGGCCTTAGCATACCCTGGCCGGCAGCCCTCTCCCCACCCGTCCTGCCCTGGTATGGAAATGAGAAGCTGGTGAATCTGGAGATTCTGGAAGGAGGGCAGAGGGTCAAGGGCCCAGTGGCACAGCCCTGCCAGACACCTGGGCCTATTACCTAATGTTCCTGTCACTGTTGAGTAGGAAGCGGCCAAGGATGTTGACAGCTAGAACCTATGGGAGGCAGAGGTTGGGAGTCAAGGAAGGAGCAGCCTGCTCATTCAGGAGTGGGGACCCCGTGGCACAGGGTGCCCCGGGAGGGGGAGGAGAAACTGGGGAACAGGACCTGTCTGCCCGGCTGAAGTGGGTGGGAGGGGTCCTGGGGAGAAGCCTCGGGGAAGGTACCCTCAGGCCCGCGGCAGAGCGGATGTCCATGATAGTCAACACCGTCTCAAACAGAACCGCGCTGCCTGCATTTCGGCTGGCGTCTGTGTTTGTGGCTACCTGCATGGATGGGAGAGAAGCTCTAAGGGGCTCTGTCCTTTCCTCATGTCATCCCTCAAACAGCTGACAAAAGTCTATCCATCCCCTCCCTCACCGCCCCCCCCCCACCCCCCAACTATGGGCCAGGGGCTACTGCACTGCAACAGACTGTGTCCCTGACCTCAGGAGAGATCACAGTCCAGAAACAAATGGAGACACGATCATGTGGCCACCGCATGGGGAGTGGTCATGGGAGGGATGCCCAGGCCAGTGGGATCACAGAGCAACACATCTAACCCAGGCCCCCAGCCCCACCTGAGCCAGCAAGTCATTCATGGTCTCACTGCTCTCCTCGTGGTTCCGGCCCAGAATCCGAAGCAGACGAAGTATCTGGACCTGAAATTGGGTTAAATAAAAGTTGGGGGTAAGGGGCTGAGGAGAGAAATCCAACGTTGAGAGCATTGTGAGGGGTCTAGCTGGTTCCCAACAGCTTCTTTGCGCTCTCCCCTCCCAACCTTCGCTGGTCCCTTGGGCCCTGGGAGGGTTCAGAGATGAGTGAGGCCAGGAGATCTGGGGACAGTTTTTTTGGGGAAAAAAAAAAAAAAGGTTACCAAGTTGGATTTTCTAGTTTTCAGGCATTCCCCCTCCTCACATTGGACCTGGGATGACCTGGTACCTGCCACCCTCCTGCCCAAGTTACTGATGAACCAAAGTGTTGTCTGGGAGGGGACCACTACCATGGGCTGCCTAGGCTTTTTGTTCCAGGGATACAGCAGGGAAGGATCGGCCCACCTGCAGGAATGGGTCGCTGACTCCAGATACGCTGTGTTCTGTGGAGCATCCTGTCATCACCAGAGTCCGGAGGGTGTGCACCAGCTGGGGTACCACCTGGAGTGAGGGCAGAGCCTGACCTGGGCATTCTTCCTAATCCTTTCTCCCTCCAGCCCCCTCCAATCCCACAGCCCTTCTCCTCCTGGCCCGGGGCCCACCCCTTCACCAGCCCACCTTGCGAAAGTGCTTGAGGGCTGCAGGGCTTCGTTCGCAGAGCTCAGTGATCAGCGTAATGGTGCCCAGCAGGATGCCTGGGTCAGGGTGAGGGAGCGAATGGTGGGCAGGGCACAGGGGAGTCTACTGTGTGTGTGTCTGCATGCACATGCTGCCTGTCACTGGGGAGCTCCTGTCCCTGTCCTGGGGCTCCCTTCTGCCCACAGCCAGAGCGGAGGCAGCAGATGAGGAGCCCCGTGGCCTTACCATGGTGGCGTTCATGAAGCAGCTGAGCACAGGGTGGGAGGAAGATGTCAGAGAGTTCGGGGACCTTCCGGATCATGTGCACTGCAGTCAGAACAGCCTGCAGAGGTCTGGGGGGTTAGAAAGGGCAAGGGTCTGCCAGGATGGAATCCCCCACCTCTACCACGTGGCAGACAGCACAGTTTCTGTAGGAGCAAGAGCCTAGACCCTGCCGTCTCACCTTCTTGCGCACATAGGCGCTGGGCTGCAGGAGCAGCTTCTCCACCTCCGGGGCCAAGTCCCGGCACATCTCAGCAGAGCCCATGGCGCTCAGCGTGCACAAGGCCAGGCCTTGGACAGCCTCAATCCCCTGGCTCAGGTCACTGCGGAGTTTGGGGAGTACAGTCAGCCAAGCCTCTGAGGAGTCCAGTCCTTCCCAGTACCTACAGCAGGCAAACCCCTGGGATTTCCCCGTTCCCCACTCTCCCATCTCCCTGATTCCAAGTGCTTCCCAGAACCCTCTCACTTCTTGATGCTGTTGGTAATGAGCAGGTGGGCATCCTGCCTCTCATCCAGTAGAAGCATGGCCCCCAGGTAGCCCACCCTCTTGTCTGTGAACCTGGGGGAGGCGATCAGTTTCAGGCACTCCATCTACAGGGAAGGGGGCAGACCACGAAGGGGTAGGGGTGAAACCGGAGGCACTTTTCTATCTTCCTCCTTTACACCAGATTAACCTGTGGGGTCAGCATACCCCAGGACCGCCCCCTTCAACAAGAATAGTGTTTAGGAGATTCAGTTAGTTTCAAGGAAACAGAAGAGTGGGAGGAGAAGAGGAGGGGCCTTGAATGGCGCTGGCCAGAGAACGAGGGGTTTTCAGTCCATCTGATGACCAGCTGGGGTTGTAAAGGGCAAGATCTGCGGTACACACTGTGAGCGCCCAGAAACTCCGCAGAATGAAGAAATCGGGAAACAAGTAAGTGAGGGGGGTGTTCGATACCGTGCCCCACCAGCTTCTCTCGTCAAACTCGGACGGGAGGCGTCCACGCCCAGTACCTGTCCAAAGTGGGCGGGGTAGCCTAACATGTGGGCGTAGAGCAGTTTGGCCAGCTGGCGGTGGCTGTGCAGAGGGTCCCCATCGCGGAAGGAGGCCCGGATGTGGGCGCACTCTTTCTGGATCACCTCCCGCTCCTGGGCCTGGGTCTTGGCCTCACGAATCTCCTGGATTAGTTCCTGAAGCTTCAGCGAGGACGCCACCATCCTGGCGGGCAGAGCCCGGAAGCGGAGAGGGCCTTAACCCTCTGGCAGTAAGCATCCGGCCTTTTCTGCACAGGCTTGCAATAAACCAAATTGCTGAGGGCCTGGGTCCCAAGGCACCCTAAAACTGATCCCTGTCCCCAGATCCCGCCCGGTCCTCGCCGCCCGAGACCTCCATTACGCATGCGTCCCCGCCCCACCCCGCACCCGTCGCTACCGAGCCTGCGCTGGAGCCCCGCCTATTTCGCCCCCAACTGCGGGTCTCCCCCGGGCTTCCCATCCCTAGTTCAGTTATTCCCTTCTTTCTAGAGCCCGGCGCTATTTCTTTCGCAGAGACCCCCGGCCCCCTCTCAGGCGGTGTCAGCTTCCCCGCACCAGGACGCCAGCCTCACCTGGCTTCAGTCTCAACTCCGCTCCTGTCCCCCCAGCGCTTCCTGGTCCTAGCCCCGAGGAGGGCTGGGGCTTGGTCTGATCCTTCCCTCTCCCCGCCCCTATCGCGGGACCCCGCCCCTCCTGGACCGCCCTGTAGAGCAATCTTGAATCCTCTGACCTCAGGCCTTTCTGATTTGGAGTTTAAGGGAAGGATCTCTTTAACTACTTAGGGGCGGCGAGACTGTCACAGGCCTGGGACTTCCCAAGAGGGCTCGTTCGCCGGAGAGCTTCTGAGAGCTTGGGTTTGAATCCATCGCACCCAAAGGAGAGGACAATTCCCCCCCCTTTTTTTGAACTTTTTTATTAATATATTTTTTTTTTTGTTAAATTTCTTTGTATTTTTTTTTTCCTGCAAGACTTGGTGTTGGCGGCACTGTTGTAGTTTAACGTCAATCCCAAATTCCATGAAATAGAAATCAGAAGTAAAGGTTGAGAGGGAAGGAAGGAGGGAGGCAGGCCAAGGAGTAAACAGAGTTTAACTAGAAAAAAAAGAAGAGTTTGTGTGTGGTGGGCATTCCCAGGCAAGGCCATTCCTTGAGGGAGGGGGTTGGCAGGCAGCTTGCTCTCTGCCTCATGCAGGGGAGGGAGGAAAGATCCCCTGGGGACCCTCAAGCCCCCTCTTCCTAGGGCTTCCTGTCCCCAGGGGAAAAGCTAGTACCAGGGATCAGCCACAACCTCCAACAGGGCTCTCTACCCACCTTTCACCCCAGTTTGACTCTCACCTCTGCTCTGCCTGGAAAGTGTGTGAGAGATTGGCTTCCTTTGATCCCCTCCTTCGTGTTGTTTTCCCATTTCACATATAATGGGGGAAGGGATCTAACCCACTTAGAAACTACTGACCAGCTTCTCCTGCCCTGTGAGTTCCTTATTGTCTTATGTGGTTCATTTTCCAGAACTGCCTCCCCCCACCACTACTGCCAGAGTTGGGGAGTGGGGTCCTTGCTCTGCAGTAGAAATGTCTTCTTCAGGTCCCTTAGGAATTTAATCAAAGGCCACACGTGAGTCCAGACCAACCAAATAAACTTTTAGGGGGAGAGAGAGAGATGGGAGAGATCAGCGGGTGGGCTTGGCTGCATGGGACACTATCTTTCCTTTTCACATTGCTCTTGACATGGCATGCCACCCTAGGGGGTTGGGTGAGAGGCTGGCTGTTGGGGAAAGGAAGAGGGAGAAGATGCTCGGGAGCTGTTCTGCCTTTCATTTCCCTTATCTCCTTCAGGGAAGCATGGAGTTTGGCAAGAACCTAGCTCAGTGCTTGGAGGTGAGGTAGGCTCCTCCGAGGTCAGAGATGGAGGCTGCACCCCTTCCAGATTTGTCACTAGGCCTCAGAGGGACACCAGGCTCCTTGGGTCGGGGAGTCCTAGCAGCATGGCCAGCGCCTCGCCCAGTTGGCGGTCTTCTCCAGTATCCAGTGTACCCCTTCCCCATGGTCTTCCTTTCCACTCAGCTTCCAGGAGACTCCTCAGGACACCAAACCCCCACCCTCATCCAAATTCAGGTCTAAAGAAAAGGCCAGGGAGGGTGTGGGGGCAATGGTCTGACTTAGAATTGTGTGTCTCAGAGAAGAGACTCTGAGCGAGAAAAGCCCTTCGTATGTAAACAATCTAGAGAGAGAAGGGTTTGGTAGGGAAGGGAGCGGGAAAGACAGAGACAGAGCCAGAAGGAATGAGAGAATCTAAAAGGAGAGAGGGAAAGAAAAAGCAAGAGGTAAAACCAGAGAGGGACAGAAAAGAAAGTGAAGGTAGAAGAGAAAGACAGGAGAAAAAAACAACCAGGGGGAAGAAAAAGAGAGAAAAGGCAGGTCAGAGGAATGAAGAGGCAGCGACCAAAGCCAGAACTAGGCCAGGCAGGTGCCTCAGGTGAGGAGCTGGGAGAACAGGAATGCCAGGCTGAGGTCCAGGAGGGCCACGGCTCCCACCACCAGCGGGTTGGCAGCTCCCTAGAGAGATGGGGAAAGGCAGTCTCAGTGCCTGAGGACCAGGTGCAGCTACGAGTCCCACCTCCTGCCCTGGCTAAGGTGGCAAAGCAGAAGGGTCCCAGACACCCCTCCTCAGAGGCCTGAGTAGGGATATCTCCAACTTTTGCTTTGATTGCAAAATAGCCCTCTACTCCCAGGCAGAGCCCTGCCTTCCCTCTGGCTCCTCAAGTGAGCCCATCCCCCGCTCCTCTCCCCTCCCTGCAGCACGTGGCCCAGGCAGAAGGTGCCTGGCCTTAGTAGCAGACGTTGGCAGCAGCCGCCTTTACTGCAGTGAAGCAGAGAGGGATGAAGGGGTGAGGATATGGTTGCTAGGAAACAGGAGAAGGCCTGGAGTCCAATCAGAGTAGAGGGTTCTAGGGAAACTCCACCCCTCCCAGTTTTCTGCCTTCTTCCCTATTTCCCTTCTTCCCTGGAGAGGGAGGGAGAGTCAGGGTAGGGAGGGAACAAGCTTTTCCTTTTTTATTCCTGGGCACCAAAGAGAGAAAGTGTGGAGGTGGGGGTGGGGGTGGAAATGATATGAAAGGAGAGCACGGGAAGATGTTCTGGCTCTACTGATAGTTATTCATTTGTAACCTTGGTGAGTTACTGTAAGTGCTCTGGGCCTCAGTTTCTCCATGTGTCAAGTGAAGGAGTTGGATGTGAAGGTCTTGGAGGTTCCCTCCCAGTTTGAAAATCCTCTATTTCTTTTTTTTTTTTTTTTTTGAGGCGGGATGTAGTCCAAGACTGGGTAGGCAAAAAGAAAGCTAAGTGCAAATCAAAGCCCCACAGGGGATAAGAGAGAGGTCTGGAAGTGATGATAGGCCAAACTTTGAGGGGTAGCAGGGCCAGAAAGGATGGGAGACTCAGAAGGCACAAGGTGGGGTGGGAGAGTTTCTTACCGGCTGGGCGGGCCTCTCCGTTGCAGTAGCCTCCTCAGCCTCTTCCACCAGGCATCCGGCTTCAGGACCCCTCGAGGACAGGCCCCTCAGGACTGGCAAGGCTGCAGGCTCTGGCTCCGAGACCCCTGGTGTGCTCAGCTGGGGAAAGGGCTCTTCATCCTCCCCCTCCTCCTCTCGAAGACTTCCAGAACTGTCACTGCAGCCTCCAAGGAGTGGGGAGCCATCTCTGGGCTCTGGCCCTTGCATCCCAGCCTCATCCTCAGCCTCATAGCCAGCTAGTTCCTCTGCCTGCTCACCCGGCCCCCCCCACTCCTCAGGCCAAGCTTTGGGGCTGGAGAAGGGACCCCGGTCCCCTCCAGAAGGCAGTGGGCTCCGGCAGGTAGGGGGTCGCCAGGGTTGGTGGGAGGAGGCAGGACTGCTGGGCAGTTCAGGGGAGCCCTCTGAGGGGGTCAGTCCATTCTCGTACACCCCAGGGCTGTCCTCATCCAGGGGCTCGGTGTCGGAACCTTCAGAGTCCTGTCTGGGTCTGCGGCCTGGGGCAGGGACAGCTACGAATCAGATGGGCTGAACTAGCCTTGGGCTGCCAAAGCTACAATTTTATCTCTTTGTCTGGTCATCTCCCAGGACTCTGGTACCCCAACTTTACAGCTTCTTAATGCCAGGTCCCATCCCCAGTCCTTATTACCCTATTTCTCAAATGCCTACTTTAGTCCTCAAACAGCTGGGCTTGGTCCCCACCCTCTGTCCCCTTAGACTCTCATACCCTGGCTTTTCCCATCCCCAGTTCCCTGCAGCGATTCACTGCCCCCTTTTCCAAGCCCAGGTCCCTGCATCTCCCAGGAAGCCAACCCCCTACCCGCCCCAGGCTACCCACACCTTACCTGGGGCTTCCAACATTGGCTGCAGATCTTGGGCTATCAGTTTAGCCATTCGAGCTGCCTCCACAGCCTTCTCGGCAACGCTGCTGGCTGCCACTGCCTTGAGAAGGGCGTCTGCTGCCCTGTCAGGTTCCAGGGACAGGGTCTTAATAGACCTACTCCAGTCCCTTGACCCACGTCCCTCCCGACCCGCCACCCCCCATATCACAACCCCTAGATCTGAGATCACCTCTGTCAGCCTCACCCTCACTCACCCTCACCTTCCATGGCCTGGCAGGGCAGCTGGCCTTCACTTTCCTCTGCAATACCTGGGCTGTGTTTGCTGTCATCACACCTTCCCGTTCTTCTCGCACTCCTCCACCATTTCACCCAATAGTAACACTTCCCTTCTTCCAGCTGCAGGGGCCAGGCCCTCCCTGCTGCCCGCAGCCCTGTTATTCCATTCCTGTCCTGCTCCCTCCCAAAGGCAAATGAGGCCTCACTCTCTTAGCGCCTCTCTGCAGCTTACCTGCTTGATGCTCAGAAGCTATGCCACTTTGCTGTGTTGATACCTCCTGTGTTATGAGAATTTAAAATCTTCTTTTCTTCAGCCACTACTGTTATCACATCCTTCTCCCCTGCCCCTGATCACTGTCACTGCCCCTCACCCCATCTCCTCCTTTCTGAGCTCTGGAACTGGATGGGTCTCCCCTTTCTGCCACTACCTATTCTCTCTCCCTGCTAACATGCGTGCTTTCTCCCCATTGTGATCATACCTTCTGTGTGAGCGCTTAATCTCCCTTCCACAACCAGCCTTCAACCCTACCCTGCTCCTTGTTAGTTATTCAGTTGTGTCCA